TCTCAATACGGTTCTTGTTGTGATGGGTTCAGAGTCACGTGGTATTAATACCACGAGGTGTTCGGAAAGCGCCGGAACCCAGTATATACAGGGCGATCTACAGGGGTAATTATGAGCCCTTGTGAGTGTAATGGTCAAATCACTGATTAGGGTTTAGCCCTCGGAGGATCGTTGTCCTTCGTTAACGACACGAGTTGGAGTGGTTTCCTCGTGGACACAGCAGAGTGAAAGGTTACGGACGTCCCTTAGGAGTCTTGACTGACTTTGGCGAGTCGTGTAAGTATGCGCGGAAGCAAAGTGTTGCTGAAAATCATTCAGTGCTTTCGAATGCACTAGGTCAAACCAATGGTTCAATCTCGGTGAAGATGGCCACTTGTGCGGTGGCCTTCACGAAAAAAAGATTTGTTGATCTTTAGCCAAAGTCCGCTGACTTCAGCTCAAACAAAATAATCACGGTTCTCGAGATGAGTAAATGGTGTTACCTGATTTTAAGTCTACCCTGGCTTGGAAAGTACGAGCCATGGATCGATTGGCCATCAAAAACGATTGCAAGTAGCTTTTCTCGCGTCGGTGAAACTCTTGGGAGTAATGTAACCACTTTTACTATGCACCAGAATAAGCCTCAAAGTGCTAGGCAGTCGTGTGCTGCTGGATTTGGTCTACACTGTATTGGTTTATGTCATGTAAATGACATTTCCTAGGTAATGGAGGATACGGAGTCGTATGTAGTGGCCACGGGTGGTCACTTAAGATGTGTGTCGATAAATCAAGTGATGACCGGAACTGGCTACTTGAAAACGAATGAATCATTGGTAGGCATGGCGATTTGCCCAACGGAAAGACTTTTTGATGGAGTGATGCCGGTTGTTGCATTCCTGAAGACAGATGTATGTTGATGTGTTATGGAAATTTAAGTAATCGACTGTGGCTGGATATAAATACTCCGAGAAATGCAATGGTTGGTTTGGATGATGAATAAGCGGGTACAACCGACCACAAAGGTGATGCTCTCTTCGTTGTA